CTATCGTAATACTTTTCCTAGCATTTAGAGGACAAGTTCTTCTAAATCGAGATCACTACTCTAGACTAATGAGGATCTATTTCTGATACTGGAACAGTGAGTATTTGATATCACCTATTGTTTACTCCATTATCGGTTGTTATACAGCATCAATTTAATACCATAATTAAGGTTTCGGTCCAGTAGCTGATCAGTTAGGAACCACTGAAAAGGAGCACCGCAGTGCCAGATATACAACAGTTTCAGGAGCGACTTTAAAAGTAAAAGAGTACAATCAAGAGAGCAATGAGCAGACAATGGCCTTTCATAGTTAAGTCGCGGGGGACTGTTCTCAAAAGACATTCATAAATTAGACAGGTTCAAAATTTAAACAATATAAGTCAATAAGTCTTTTTGTACCAAATTAATAAAGTTCATTAACTGTTTAAAAGTAATTTAAAAGAGCAAGGTATTCTTTTATATAATCTGTGATGATTACAAGCCGCCGTTTATCTAACCCTGAATGCGTAACATTCAATATTTATTTTTTGCACTGCCGTGGGTCGGTTATAAGGCATATTATTCCATCAAAATTTAGCTCTACCCCATTACCACGAGTTAAATTATGACCTGACGGTTTAATTTCTTTATCTAACTTTCCTCTGCGAAATCAAAGTTCAGCATTTTTTGATAGTCAAAGTTAGGTTGCATCCAAGTGGTTTTCAACAAAGAAGACTATGCAGGAAAGGCAGTGCTAATAGAGTAATATCATGTTCTTATACAGCGATTTTTTTTAATGTTATTACATGAACAGCGTTTGTTTGTATGTAAATATGCATTCGCTTGTTCGGTGAATCAAACGTTTACACTAAGACACTACAATACGTAAAGCATATCTCAACAGTAATTCACAGAAGAAAGCATTACGCCAATTGGTGTACAGAAGCGGAAACTTAAAGGACTAGAGGAATTATTGAGGAAAATTTTGTAAGTTCTGGGTGATTTAACGACCCACACGCACTATACATAAAGTGCCGTTTACGAAGTAGCCTTTACGAACAGATTGAAATTCAGCCAAGACTTGTCACGTTGTTCGATATGGGCGCCACAATTAAGGCGGTTTTTAGCTGTTATTTTCTACATGTGTTCACTGCGCTACTAAAACGAACAATCTTTTATACGACAGTACCGTAGTCGTTTAAGGCCTAAAGGTTCAGTTCTGAGGAGCGAGGTTTGCGTATTATGGGCAGATGTGGTTTGCGTGTGAAGGCCGTTATAGGTTGTGCTTTTCCTTCCGCGCCAGGTATTCTCGAGGGTGATATAGGCGTATAAGGGTTGGTTCGTTCAGGGATTCGTTTTTAATTATGATGTTCGTTGTTGTTTTGCTGCATTTTAAGTTTTTTTTTTTTTTTGCAATCTGTCCTGGCTGCGTTTTAGTTCGTGGAAGAAAGCGTAACATCTTGTTACCATTGATAATTCTCAATTCCACGCTTGTTCAGGGGCGGATAGTTTTGTAAAAGATGCAGATTTTTGTAAAAACCCTTACTGGCAAAACAATCACCTTAGAGGTGGAGGCTTCGGACACAATTGAAAATGTGAAAGCGAAGATTCAGGACAAGGAAGGCATCCCTCCGGATCAGCAGCGTTTAATTTTTGCAGGTATTTGAATATGTTATTATTTCTTTATATATTAAGCTAATTTCAGTTGTTTTTCGAAGTAATTAAGGTAGCTTAGTGGAAATTAGGCGTAGGCTCGGGAGCTTTCTTCTTTTTTGATGTAGTTGTGTTTTTTTAATAAGTGAAGTGTTTAGGTTTTTTTGGAAGGAAAATGCTGATTCTTGAGAATGGTGATGTGCCTAACACTGCCATTCGAGGACGGACCCAGCTTTTTTTAGTATTTATATTTCTAACCTTAAGGTAAACAGCTGGAGGATGGCAGGACGTTGTCGGATTACAACATCCAGAAGGAATCCACTTTACACTTGGTGCTTAGGTATGTTCATTAGGCTATGGTGAGCATTTTGTTTTGCGGTGCTGCATGTCTTAACGTCAATTATGATAAAAGGCGGTTTTTTGATTCAAGATGATGCAGACGCTTCAGAATATATTTGACTCTTTGAGAATATCTGGAGAAAGTCACACTTTTAGACTGCGTGGTGGTGGAAAAAAACGAAAGAAGAAGACATACACGACGCCGAAGAAAAATAAGCATAAGAGAAAGAAGGTCAAGCTTGCTGTACTGAAGTACTACAAGGTATTAATTTAAAGTGTAACTGTGTTTTTCTCCTTTGAGCTTTCACCGACGTAACTGTGATGAAACTCTCAAATACGGTGTCTGGGCTTCTGATTCAACAGTGACTGATTTCTTGAGAATTTTCTGAGTTACAGGTGATGGTGATAGATCCTCTGTATTATTTCGCATTTGTTTAGCTGAATTTCATTATTTTGATGAGACAAAGCCAATTTGTTTAGGTGGATGAAAATGGGAAGATTTCTCGGTTGAGGAAGGAATGTTCTTCACGTACTTGTGGAGGTGGTGTTTTTATGGCTAGCCATCACAACAGATATTACTGTGGGAAATGCTATGAAACTCTTGTTATGCAAGACCCTAAAGAAAAAGCTGGAAAAGCCAAATAAATTCTATTTTGTTGAGAGACAGTTGTTAATAAAAATTGTTTTCCTTTTGTTTCTGACACTGTTTTCATCGTGCAATTTGAACGCCCTAGTTGCTCTGTGATTTTGTATTTTTGAAACAGCACGTGACAGTTACGTCTGTCTTTGGGCGGGCTAAGTACGGTGCTTTCTTGCAGTGAGATGTGGTGTTGTGCTGTATAGTTGACTTTGATCATTTATTTTTTCTTTGATATGATAAGACATACAAACATTAGCAAGGTTGGATTGATGAAGAGACGGAGCAACGGCTGGCGCGGAACCAACTGTTGTCTTACCCGCATCATTTGAGAGGCCTTGTTAACAGGGGGAGCATACTTTCTTGCTCGATAGGTCGTTTCACCGCAGGGGAGCAGAAGTTTGTTTTCTTCGAGGTAGTGATGCCTTGCGGAACCTTGGTTCGTGGCGGATTTTTGGGGTGCTGTTGACATGCATTGCGCAGGATTGAGAGGGCGGTGGGATATGGGAGTTTGTTTGTCTGGGCGAGTCTGCGCTTTGTGCCCTTCCTGAATTCGGTTAATGATCGATTCTAGTGAGCGCGGTGGAATGGTCTGCATTATTGTAGTGGTTTAAAATTTAACCTTTGTAGTACCGGCGGCAGTTGAAGTTGCAGTTTTGTGGAACTCTGGAGTTGCTGCTTCGGAATCTTCGCGTGGACCTGGCAGTGTCGTAATCCACATCGCTGCATTCGGATTCTGCAATCGGTGCTTGTTTCGGTGTGCTGCCATCTGCGCCCAAGCGTTTTGTTGTTGAGCGATGACTAGGAGGTTCACATATTTTACTTGTTTCGAGTAACCTGGGTTAAGGTGTGGATCAGTTGAATGGTTTTTTCAGGAGTCTTTTGAAGGAGATTAGAATTGTTAGGAAGTACCTGTCATCTTGTTTTTTGCGGCGGACCTTCTTTATATTGGTTTTGTTCATAGTAATCAGTTCATATAGCTTGGTTCTGTAGTCATCGACACTGAGTTGAATGTGATCGGGTAAGGGAAGCATTACGTCGTAGGTCAGAGCCGGTTCGTCTACGGGTGAGTGAAATTGATGCACGTAAGGATGACAGAGGCATTCGTCTACTTTCAGTCGTTTGTACGGTGCAAATATCAGTAATCTGTAAAAATGAGTTCTGTGAATGTTTTTTTGACGAAAACAAGATGTGTAGCTGCTTACGATATAACTTGTGAGGTAGCTATACTCATGATATTTATAGTCTTGTTGGTACGAAACCAGTGATGTTTGTTAAGTTTTACACGGTTCCAGATGTAAGTTTTTTGTTCAAGAAAAAGTTGAGTCTTTTGCAATATTGTATACTAGAGTTGCATATATAACAAAATATTAAAAGTTTTAGTATTTACGAGCTAACTTTTCAATAAGGTCAAGCGCTTCTTTGTCATTTTGTTCTATAAGGGTTCCTAAGGGTCGACGTGGCTTCTGTGGCATTCGAATGAAAATTGGCTCTGCGTATGGAGAGTCGATACTTTTTATGTCAGCCTAAGATTTTAAATTTTTTTAACTGTGTTAAAGTTAGGCTAGTTTGAGGTGAGTTGCTTTGACATACTTCAGAAGGTTTTACAATTGTTTCCATAATCCGTTCAATTTGGTTGATAGTTGAAGTCCCAGGGAAAAGTGGTTTCCCACGTAACATTTCGCCTAAAATGCATCCTAAACTCCACATATCGACGCCCTTAGTGTAGCGTTTTGCAGATAATAAGATTTCTGGCGAACGGTACCAACGAGTAGCAACATATTCCTGGAAATCCTTTAGTTGCTTAAATTTGTTAATCCATTTTTAATTTTTGAGGCTCAGAAAGTGTGATTATGACAAGTTTTGTCAATCGTTTCGGTGTGAAAAAGGAAGCGAAAGAGTTACTGTTAGTTCGGGCATATTTTGTCCTTCCGGGTAGTCCTCAATTTGTGAAAGCGATCTAGCTAGACCAAAATCGGCTAGCTTTACTCGGCATTCTGTATTCAGCAGGACATTCGAGGGTTTCAAGTCGCTGTAAATTAAGCAAAGATTCCAGTTACGCAACGTTTAAGGCCTCAAGAACAGAGGTTTTGTCACTGTTCGTAAAACTACCTACATGATTGTGAGATCAACTTTGGGATATCCCCCTCTGTTGCGCAACCAGCTCTTCAACTGTTTGTCCTGGGAATTGATTGGTTAAAGACTTTTAGAATGTTTTTCCAAAATCCGTCTCATTCAAAGCCCTCTGAGGTTCTAAGTGAAGTCAGGACGAGATAAAACGAAGTAAAACGTGAGGGATATTATTTGGAAAACTGATTGGTGTAGGTGTATATTTTTGTCGAGGGAAAGCAGGTATATTATCTTACTGAGTGGTTACGCATTATTTAATCTCCAAAATTTAGTTCAAAGTCTTATTTCCTTTCCGTAGTTTATTCTTATGCTTAACAGGTCGCCAAAGAAAATGCTGGAAAAGTGTGGGCGACTTGATTGTGTCGGATGTGGTATAAATCCTATACTACCGTATGAAAAACAAAGTTAAAAAGTATCCACACAATTTAAGTTGTTTCTTTTTTATTTCATTCTTCAAAAAACACCTAAATTGAGCGATTATGGTTGGAATGTTTGCAAGATATGCTTACATCAGTCTTTGTTGTTATTTTGGTCGTTTGGATGAATGTGTTTTTTGTGGCTGAGAGTTTTAGAAAGTGGATGCGCGAAGAGAGAAGATGAAGAAAATTAATGTAGGCGTACTGTGGTATTGACAATGACAAAAAAAAAGAAAAGATGGAAAATGTTAACTGAAACTTTACCGGTGTAGCACATTTCCGCTGTGTAAAAATCGTACAGCCCTAAACAGCTGGCACATAATATAACGTCGATGAATATCTTTCAGGATTGTACCTCGTTTAATAACATTATGTAAGTCGGTATCCATGTATTCAAATGTCAAGTAAATATCTCTGAAAGAATAAATTTTGTAGCAACATTGATTCAGATTTTCAACCGCAAAAAGAAGAAGTCGAGTCAATTTTTTTTTTTTTTTGATAGAGCGTTATGATTTGTTGAAATGTGCGGCAGCAGTGTTGGGTCTTTTGGCGCCTTAAGTGAGAGAGCAATCTGCCAGCAGATGCAAAAATGAGGTTGTTTATAATTGGGGTTTTCATAAGTGTTACAACAGTTTTTTATCAAATAGGTTGGTATTGCAAAAGTTTGAAATGCAGATTGTTCAGTCCTAAGTAAAAAGGCCAATAATTTGTGTGGCTTTAATTCAGCTTTAAAAAACGTATTTTTATAGAGAATAATTGTTAGTTAATTTACACGAATACATATGTTTCTGTTTTGGATGTAATAATCATGTGATATCTGAATTGTTGGTGCAAAAGGCTGAACAAGTATGTTTTTTTTTTTTTTTT